TTTTTACATTTGCTGCTAACCACTTTGCCTGTGTTAGAGTTGTGCTTTCTTGTATGCAAAATCAGGTATCATAAGAACAAGTGAAACACAAGCAAGCTAAGCAACACCGAAAGGTAAAAATTTTGCATCAACCCTCTTCAAACAACAGTCCAAGGCTGCAATTAAACGATCAAAATCAGAAGTAAATTACATGCAATTGTGGCAACATAGACAAGAATCATACCAATATTACCAAAGGTATCCATACGCAAACAACATAGATTATGTCCAAGATTGGAGACAGGATACGAAACTAGACCAAAATTTCTATCAACAGCCGCAAAATCTTCCATAATCGGACAAAATATCAAAATTGGAAGACACATGTTAGAACACAGATTGGTGTTTAATATATCTCATTGTTTTGATGATAACATTAATGAAATTTTGTATAGAGAATTTATATACTCTAATTTTGTTCAAGTGTTTATTTGTTTCAGATATCAAAATTAATATTATTCTAGAAGCAAGAACGCCTCTGAACATTACAGAACGATAAAGCTCTGAGCGTCAGAAGCAACACATCAGAAGACTCTGATCTGCTACAAATGACTCTAAGCGAAGCTGCGAAGAACTTGAGTAAAGAGCATACGTAAAGCTTCAGAAGACTCTGAAAGTACTTAACGCTGCAAGTACAGAGGCTCTGATAAGCAAGTATGATCTGATAAGGAACTTCACGCTTAAAGCACTGTACTGCAAACTCTGATAGAGAAACTCTGATTGAGTTAACTCTGATCTGAAGAACTAGGAACATCATCAGAAGTTCTGATGCAAGACGTTCCAAAGTTGTTGAAGAAGATGTTGTTCAAATAAAGATCCGTTGGCATATTCCTTGTCATCATCCAAACTCCTATTTCCTCATTCGTGCATGACACAGGAATTCAGAAAAAAAGGATTTGTCCGAACATTCCCCTTCTGAGTAAGGAAAAGTCAATAGAAGACAAAAAGAACAGAATGCACAACGTTGCACAGTTTTTGAGAAATGGATTTCAAAGTACTATAAAAGTAAGTCTCAGCATCACTTCAAAGGCTAACGAACTACCAATGAACTTCAAACAAATCCTTATGAAACCTGACCACATTACAAACTTCACAAAGTCCTTTGTGATTTATGCTTTCAAATGCTTGAATCTTGAATTGCTCGGATGAAAACATGAATTAATCAGGATGTTGACCAAGATTGTGGATGAGTGTCCATTCACCACATGATTGAAAAATTTCAAGGTCTTCATCACTTTTATGAAGATTATGGATGTTGACCAAGATTTATGAAGATAATCATCTATTAAACTCTAAATGCTAGACATAGATTTATGTTTAATGTTCATCGTAAGTATCAATTCTTAATGTTGTCGTGTTGTTTAATAGGATGAGAAATTGCCGATTAAACAATAAGGTAGAATCCTCATCAGATGTTTATACATAAACTCTATTGGTAAGCAATACGTGATGATATTAATACATGCTTAGGTTATGTATAGTTGATCGGTGATTTGCATATTTAATTTGTGGATGAAATCCAATCCCAGCAAGCTTATTACCCTTAAAAGTATCCTTATTAATTATATGTTTTTACATTTGGTAACTTACAAATCAAATATCTTGCAAAACTTCCGTTTAAAATCATAATAACTGTTGAACGACATTGATATTGCACCAGTCCTTGTGGATATGATAAAAATAAAATACTTACTTTTGATTACTCAACATCAATAATCCAAAACTTATCAATTCCTTAGATTATTTTGTGTGGTATAGATTGTAATAGACACTTTCAATGAACTAGAATGCACATGAACTTGTATAAAATAATGTGTTTTGTTCACTTGCAATTCACATCACAAAAATAATGAACTTTTCTTACCCATATCTAGCGAGAAAAAACTCTAACCTAGGTGGAGTTTACAACAACAAAGGGACTTATTCCCATTTGTTCAAGATTATTGTGGATGTTACAATGTCTAATATGAATGATCAACTAGACAAAGTGAGTCTTCGTCTCAACCATTTTAACATGAGAGTGGTGTTTAGTGTTGAGTATCTTCATTTTTCATTCAATGATGATGGACGTGTTCAGTTTACCAAAATGAAACTTCAAAATGATGAGAAAACTAATGTTTCTTGTTCGCTCCCTCTGTTAGAACACAGATTGGTGTTTCTTATATCTCTATGTTTTGATGATAACTTTTAGGGAATTTTGTATTAAGAAAATATATACTCTAAAATTTGTTCAAAGTATTATTGTTTCAGGTATAAAATTGAAAACTCTTAAAGAAGCAAAATACATAAGTACAAGAAACTATGCAAAGCTCTGAAGCATCAGATGCAAGACTATCAGAAGATTCTGAAGCGCTGCCAGAAGGATCTGAAGCAGAAGCTACAGAATGATCTGAAGCGTTAATGAAAGAAGTGTACACAAGTTAAAAGCTTTGATCTAATCAGACTCTGAAGTTCTTTTCACTGCAAGATCAGAGGCCTTGATAACCAGACTCTTATCATTAATATTCACGCTCTTAAGCACATACTACTGCATACTCTGATGAAGACTCTGATCAAAATTGAGACTCTATACATTAAAGATCTGATCATCTTTCAAGGCTCTGAACATCTCAATCATTCTAGCTCTGATCATCTTAAAGTATTTCATACCTTTAAGCTTGCTACAAGTTCTGAAGTGCAGATTATGAAGACTTCATCCTGAAGGAAGCTTGTTGAAGAAGCTGTAAACTTGATTGGACGTGGTGCTACTTCCAAAGTAACCAACGACTATTTTGTCCAAAGAAGTGACGTGGTGCAAATCCCAAGGCTTCTACAACCATACCTTTCCTGCAGAAAGCATATCTCTGCCCATACTTTTTGGTAATGAAAAGTCTTATATTCAAATATAATATTCAGCTGCACATCACTCAAAGCATTTGGAAAAGCTATAAAAGGAGAACTTCTACAACATTTTGAAGCTGCTAATTTTCTGCTCATCACTTGCTTATTGCTAGTTCACTCAGAAAGAAATACACGCTTGATTCATCAAAGTGAAAATCTCACAAAGATCTTATTCATTTGATCTCTCATAAAACTGTATAGTTTTTATTGTACTTAATCTTAAGTGTAAACATCACAGTTGTGATACAGCTTATTAGAAGCATTCAAACACTTGTTAGTTTACATTAATTTGTAAGAAGTTCCTTAAGAAGACCAAGGTGTGGTCAGTAGTTCTTGAGAAGACTAAGACAGTTGTTCTTAGTGCTTTCTATTGTAATCAGTTGATCAATAGTGGATGAAGTCCTTGTAGAGAAAGGCAAATCATCTTTGATAAGGTGGACTGGAGTAGTTGAATTCAACGAACCAGGATAAAAATCTTGAGTTGTTTTTTATTGCCATATTTCTTAAAAACTCTTATTCAACCCCCCCCCCCCCCCCCCCCCCCTCTAAGTGTTTTTCTCACCTCCACCCCACTCTTTTTACTATGGGCTTTGACAGGTGCAGGCTTAAACAAGACGTGCATTACTTTTTTTTTGTGCCAATTTTATGCTTTAAGGGTACCCACTGGCCCTTCTCCGTTTTTTGGATGGCCGAGCCAACGTTTTGAGTCCCTCCCCCTTTACTTTCCTCGTCATTCTCCCACTTTGTTTTTTGACGGGCTTTTGCGGGACAAACATAATATGGACGAGCATGCCCATTTTCCATCTCTAGTGAATACATTATCAAGGGATCGATCAAACTCGATGTTACTTTGGTCGTATGCGTTCGAGTTATGTGTTTAATTCTAGTTTATCCAATGGTATTTGATAAAATTGTGTCGTACATGATTGAGTTTGATAAAAATACAATTAGTCTGTCTGATTTATGATATTATATGTATTTAATTGATGTTTTTAACTATTCACAATTTATTGTTGGTGTTTGACATATACTAGTATATTGTTTATCTTTATGATTTAATATTTTTAAAGTTTAGAATCTAAATAGGTGTAAGGCGGACTACCGCACAGGGCTTTAAAATTTTCACAATTAAATCGTACCTAAATAGGGTATCATAAATCTTTTTTATTGTAAAAATAAGGTTAAATAAGACCTCTAATTACTTTGTCATGTGTGAACCGTGACTAACTTACGAGAGTTTCTAAAAACTTGTGTCAGCTCTGAATCTAAATTATTTTTGACTCTAAAATAAAATAAAATAAAATCGGCCGCTCGACCGCTGGGTAAAATAAATGCCAGAGCCTCTGATGCTCGCTGTTCAGGTTCATGCACTGAGATGAAAACTGAGCCACGGGAAAACTTTGATCCCCTGTCTCAAGAACAAATGTTATGCAAATGCAGAAATGCGAAAATGTAAAAAAACAAAATGCAGATGCTGCCAAAACGAAAAGACAAATTTTAGGGTGCTACACCTCTAAAAACTTGTGATAGCTCTGAATCCAAATTATTTCCAACTCTAAAATCAACCAGTATTTTTGTCAAACTAAGAGATTTCGAAAAGATTTTGGAGTGAAAAACAAATTCCCTAAGAATCATCATAAGTGTCAAAATCGAATTTTGAGAAATAAAAACACACAAGACAAAAAAAAAATATAATAACAAAACATTTTATTTTTGTTTAACTATAGTGGCACAAATTACCATCATTATGGCCCACCATAAAAATTCAACCACATTCAAATTCAACCAAATGAAAAAATCACAAATTTATATTTTCTTCATGTTGACAAGTATGTTACACTAATTACACTCTACTTAAAACCTGATTAAAGTTGAATCTCAAGTTTTTGACATTACAGTAACATAAGTTTTTCCAAAATTTAGAAACACCCTAACTCTAACTCACAAGTATATAGTATTCTTAAACAACAAGTACAACAAATTAATCAAATAACAATAACAATTACTCATCACTCATCATCTTTCTTCTCTTTCTATCACCTTAAAGAACCACTTGAACAGCCAAGATTTTTTGCAATGTTTCAAACTCCTAGTCCAGCAGTAAATGATACACCAGTTGTAGGCAACCATAGATTACCCTCAAGAAATTGCGTCACAGTGAAGTTATTAGCATGACTAGAATCATTTATAATATGATATCCCGGCCATTTAACGCGTTTGTTTAATCCGGCTCCGAGGCCATAATTCATGTACTCCGCATAGTATAATGTATCCAATGCGAAATCACCGTTCCACTCTAGCCACCCTTCCGGCCGTAACACATTACTTATATGAGATTGCATGAAAACTGTTCTCGAATATTCTTTCCACGGCCGTCCGAGATAAGTCCAGGTGGAGTTAACTAAAGGAAGAAGATCAGAATCAGCGGTGATGTTGCAGAATTGGATTGAGAAACCGGTTGGTTCGTTGGGATCTTTTCGTCCTTGAGCTGTGATAGTGTTCTTTTGATTTGGTAACCCTTTCTTAACTAGTATTTGACAGTTTTGAAAAACTGTCGTGGCGTCGCCAAAGATGAAATCGACTGTGCCGCTTATTTTGCATTCTCTATAGAATTGACGCATGGTGTGAGTATAGAGACTATCTTGGTAACCAAAAATTCCGCATCGGTAAAATACAGAAAGGTCCGAGTCGGATCTTAACGCCACTGCTTGGTGCTTCTCAGGACCTGCAGTGTTTTGAAAACTGATGTCTCTTGCTATAAATCCTCTACCACTCACAGCTGCACACAAAGAATAGTAAGCAAATAAGTATTAACGTAACAGTAGCACAGATATCAGACATGAAACTTTTCATGTCGATAATAGTAATAATTTAAAAAAAATAAATAAATTTGACGTAATCACGTGTGCTTGTTACAGATCTTATGGTAAAGTCATAAAAAATATTGAATGAAAGAGATTTGAATTAAATATATTAATGTCAAAGTCATACTATATACAATAAAGTTTGTGAAAGTCATAAGATTTGGTCATAGATTTCAGCTGTTGAAGACATGGTGTCATTGGCATTATAAATACCATAATTGAAATCACATGCTGTTTTGGGCAAACATTAATTTCATAACGTGTTTTGGTTTTGGTCTTTTTTATGAATAGGTTATCCTCTAACCACAAACTACATGTATTAAGGAAAATTATAATTGACGGGAAAACTCTTTCTGCAAAATATAATATCTAAATATTTGGTGATAATTTGTTCTTAGTATTTACCAAAGGTAGCTGATCTGAATGTGGTCCATCCGTCGACGAAGCTCCGATTACCCGAAATAACACTGGCATTCATACCATCACCAACCATCATAAGATTCCACTTCTTCTTCTTTATTTCAACATTTTCAACATAAACACCTCTCTTCACATAAATCACAAACCGTTTCAAGCTATAATCAGGAGCTGCATGCACCGCATCCATCACCGTCGTAAAATTCCCGCTACCGTCTTTAGCAACGACAACGTCCACGCCAACACCATTTGCCATCAAGAGCTTTCTATCTTCTCGTTTGAACCATGCAGGAAATTGACCTTTTTGTGCTTGTTTTGTTGCGAAGCTATCGAAGTTAGGGTTCACTTGCGTGAGAAGTTCTGTAAGTAGTGACATCATTTGGCCTAAACCAGTTGAGACTAAAGTGCTTACAATGCCATTTGTGCCTTCAAAACCGTTTTGGCATGTCTCTGGATTTGCAAGTGCAGCACTAAGCCATGTTCTCACATCAGAGCTCAAATTTCCAGTACTATTATGCTTACCTACAATAAGGATAACAAAAAATATTACTATTTTTTTATAATATACATTTTTTTATTTCCAATTTAAATGTCAAAAAATAATTCTTTTTAGTAGTATTATATTTTTTTTGAAATAACTTGATCTGTTTATTTTTTTAGTTTACATTTTCTCTCTCTATAATAAATATTTAAATATAATTATAATAACATTATTAGTATTATTATTATTTCTTTAAACTTTAAAAATTATTCTAAAATAATGACAATTAAATAAGAACCTAGAAAGTACTCACTCTCAAGGAAGAATTTGGGAACAGAGTAATTGTATCCAATAAATAGGTGTACTTTTAGAAAATGGATACCAACTTAGTGGGGAAAAAATAGCGTTCTGTTTGGTTGAAAAAGAAAATAGAGTTTCTGAGAAGGGATCGCAATAAATATCTTGCCCTTTCTAAAATTAGGTGTTTTTTAATTTATATAATCATTCTTTTAATTACTACTCCTTATAAATTAGTTTTTAAAATAATATTGTTCAAATTTATAAATTACTTTAAAAAAATTTTATTACTTCTTTTTCTTTCGTGAAACATTAATTATACTAATATATTTTAATATACATGAAAATGTTAAAACCACATATAATAAAATAAATAAATAATACTCTCTATTTTAAATTAGTTTTCTAATTATATATATATATATATATATATATATATATATATATATATATATATATATATATATATATATATATATATATATATATATATATATATATATATATATATATATATATATATATATATATATATATATATATATATATATATATATATATATATATATATATATATATATATATATAAAATAATTTGTTATGCTAATTTTAATAATTTATGAATTTTATTTAAAAAAACATTAATACTCCTTTTGTTTAAAATTATAAGCCGCTTTGTTAAAGCAACTTGTCTCAAGTTATAAATTAGTTTATATTACTAAATCAATATTTTCTATCTACTTTATTATTTATTTTAATTTTTTTAATGTAATTAATAAGAAACAATTTTATAAAGTTACATATATATATATATATATATATATATATATATATATATATATATATATATATATATATATATATATATATATATATATATATATATATATATATATATATATATATATATATATATATATATATATATATATATATATATATATATATATATATATATATATATATATATATATATATATATATAAATTTTTATTAGAATATTATTAATAATTCATATTTATTTAGTTGTACTATTTTCTTGGCCCCTAAGTTTGTTAGAGGGTATTTTAGTATTTATCCTATTCTAGTAACCCTAGTTTTTAGCTTATAAATAGGGTGACAATCATTGTAACAATATCATGTTTTGTAGCCGTCATTCTCTTATTAGTAATATTTCCTATTTTCATTATTCTATCTTTGCACCAACAATTGGTATCTAGAGCTCCGGTTCAGATTCATTGGGAAACACGGGAAACACGAGTGAACGTGAGGTCTTGTGTGATTGATTTTGTTTCTTAGATTCACGTTGAATCTTGAACAAAATCTGATCAGAATTTTAAAAAAATTCTGTGGGTTGGGAAACACTGTGTGAGAAAACTCTGAGTGTATTGTGCAAAGAAGAAGATGAACGGAAACGGCAACATGAACACCAAACTTCCAGTATTTGACGGTAAAAACTGGAATCGTTGGATGATCCAGATGCGTGTACTATTTGGTGCTCAAGATGTTCTGGATCTTGTCACTGATGGTTATGTTCCAGTAGCAGCAGATGCAACTGATGAACAGAAAAACGCGCAGAAGGAAGTAAGGAAGAAGGATCAGAAAGCATTGTTCTTCATTCATCAATGTGTGGATGTAAACGTGTTTGAGAAGATTGCAGACTCTACAACAGCAAAGGCTGCATGGGACACTCTGGTGAGATGTTATGGTGGTGACGCATCAGTGAAGAAGGTGAAGCTTCAGTCCTTGAGAAAGCAATATGAGAATCTCAACATGAAGAATAATGAGAAAGTTTCTGAATACATCTCCAGAGTGATTCTGATCACTAATGAGATGAAGGCATGTGGAGAAACTCTTTCTGAAGAAACAATCATGGAGAAAGTGTTGAGATCCCTTACTCCTCAATTTGATTACATTGTGGTAGCAATAGAACATTCCAAAGATCTGAGCACAATGAGAATTGAAGAGCTGCAGAGCAGTCTAGAAGCGCAAGAGTTGCGTCTGACTGAGAGAAACTCTGAAAAGGAAGTAGAACAGCAGGCTCTGAAAGCAACTTCTGATAGGAGGTATCAGAAGCAATCAGAAGCCAGGAGAAGATCTGATGGTGGTCAGAAGTCAGAAAGCTCAACCTCTGATAGACAAAAGAATGCTCAGAGGGGAAAAGAGAAGTATGACAAAAGAAAAATACAATGTTACTGTTGTAAGAAGTTTGGCCATTTTGCTAGAGATTGTTGGTCAAACAAGGAGAAGAAATCAGAAGAAGCAAATATAGCCAGAAGCTCTGATGACGAATCTGTGCTGTTGATGGCCTCTGAATCTGATAATGTGGATCTGACAGACTGGTGGTATATGGACACTGGCTGTTCAAATCATCTTACTGGAAACAAGAAATGGCTGGTTGACTTTGACTCTGAAAAGAGGACAAAGATCAGATGTGCTGATGACAAATATCTTAATGCAGAAGGTATGGGAAATGTCAGAGTGACTCTGAACAATGGAAAAATAGCATTGATTCAGAATGTGTGGTATGTACCTGGCATCAGAAGCAATCTGATGAGTGTGGGGCAATTAATTGAGAAAGGTTTCTCAGTTACCATGAAGGACAATCTTCTGAAGCTGTATGACTGTAATCAGAAGTTGATTATGGAGTCAGAACAGGGAAGGAATAGAACATTCAAGGTGAATGTCAGAACTGCAGACTCAGAGTGTCTTAGTGCAACAAGTACTGAGAAGGAGAGTGAGCTGTGGCACAGAAGATTTGGTCATTTGAATTTCAGAAGCTTACAACATCTGAATTCAAAGAAATTGGTACATGGAATTCCTGCAATTAAGAAGCCTGAAAAGTCATGCAAAGTTTGCATGGAAGGAAAACAACCAAGATTGCCATTTGCATCAGAAGTTGCTCCAAGAGCAAAACATGCCTTGGGAGTTGTACACTCTGATGTGTGTGGTCCATTTCCAGTAGCATCAATTGGAGGGAATAAATACTTTGTGTTGTTTGTTTGATGAATTCAAGAAGTTCAGAATGAAGGCTGAGAATCAGAGTGGTCAGAAGTTGAAGATTCTTAGAACTGATGGTGGAGGTGAGTATAACTCCAAAGAGTTCCAGAAGTTCTGTGAGGAGAATGGAATTGAGCATGAGGTTACTGCTCCTTATACCCCTCAACACAATGGTCTTGCTGAAAGAAGAAACCGTACTTTGCTTGATATGGTGAGAAGCATGTTAAAGGAGAAGAAGCTTCCTCAGAAGCTCTGGGGAGAAGCTGTTGCCACTGCAACGTATGTACTCAACAGATGTCCTACGAAGAAGTTGAAGGAAATAGTTCCTATGCAGAAGTGGACTGGAGACAAGCAAAGTGTTAGTCATCTGAAGGTATTTGGTTCTGTTTGCTATAAACATGTTCCAGAAGCCAGAAGACAGAAGCTGGATGATAGAAGCAAAGTGATGATTCTGATAGGGTACCATAGTACAGGTGCATACAAGCTCTATTGTCCAGAAACCAATAAAATTGAATTCAGCAGAGATGTGATTGTGAAGGAATCAGAAGTTTGGAATTGGGATAAGTCTCAATCAGATTCTGATGTTAGAACCTCTGAAGAAAGGTCAGAGTTAAGAATTGATGACTCTGATACTGATTCAAACTCTGAAGAAGACTCAGAAGATGAAGGTGACTCTGATGACCCAGACTCTGATGACCCAGACTCTGGTGATTCAGACTCTGATGGCAATCCAGATCTTGGTGGCAATTCAGACTCTGGAAATATGCCAGACTCTGAAGATGGTCAAAGCTCTGGAGGTCAATCATCTGAAGCTGGAAACTCTGAAGCTCAAGACTCTGAACAAGTTCAGAGACCACAAAGAATCAGAAGCGTTCCCAGAAGATTTGCAGAATTTGACATGCTGCAAGACACTGAAGTAGACTCTGAAGGAGAAGTTATTCAGTGTGCCATGTTAGTCGACTCTGAACCTATAAGTACAGAGGAGGCTCTTAAGCAGAAGCTCTGGCTGAAGGCCATGAAAGAAGAACTTGATGCTATAGAGAGAAACAAGACTTGGAAGCTGACAGAACTTCCAAAAGACAAGAAAGCCATCAGCGTCAGATGGGTTTTCAAGCAGAAGTTAAAGCCAGATGGCTCAATTGGCAAACATAAAGCAAGGTTGGTAGCCAGAGGATTTCTACAGAAACCTGGGCTGGATTATTCTGAAGTGTTTGCACCTGTAGCAAGACATGAAACAATCAGAATGGTGATTGCAATAGCTGCTAACAGGAATTGGCCTCTGATGCATTTAGATGTAAAATCTGCATTTCTGAATGGTCCATTAGAAGAAGAAGTTTACGTGTCACAACCTCCTGGATTTGTGAAAAAGAATCAGGAAGGGATGGTGTACAGATTATACAAAGCTCTATATGGATTGAAACAAGCGCCCAGAGCTTGGAATCAGAAGATTGATTCATTTTTCAAGAAGCAAGGCTTTCAGAAATGTGAGATGGAGTACGGTGTCTATGTTCAGCATACTCCTGAAGGCAATATGACTCTGGTATGTTTATATGTTGATGATATACTGCTGACTGGAAGTTCTGAACAGGAGATAGCCAAGTTCAAGAAGGTTCTAATGAATGAATTTGAAATGACTGATCTAGGCAAAATGACATACTTTCTAGGGATGGAGTTCAGATATTCTGAGAAAGGTATCATTTTGCATCAGCTCAAGTATGAATTAGAACTTCTGAAGAGATTTGATCTGAAGAATTGTAAGATGGCTGTCACACCTTCTGATACAAATCAGAAACTGGATTCAGACTCTGAAGGAAAGGATGTGGATGCTACAACCTACAAACAGTTGGTTGGTTCTCTAAGGTATCTGTGCAATACCAGACCTGATATTTGCTACTCAGTTGGGATGGTTAGTAGGTTCATGAGTAAACCTAAGTGGTCCCATTACCAAGCTGCTGTCAGGATTCTGAGGTATATCAAAGGAACTCTGAAGTATGGAGTGTTATTTCCCTCTGGAGGAAATAATGAGTCAGAACTTCTGAGTTATTCAGACTCTGATTGGTGTGGAGACAGAGTTGACAGAAGAAGTACATCTGGGTACTTGTTCAAATTTCTGGGAGGTCCCATATCTTTGCACCAACAATTTTTAAATTAATTACACTTTTTCAAAATTATATATATTTAAGGAATATTAGTAAAAAAATAAATAATATATATTACATAAATATTAGTGTTGTGAAAGGACAATTATTTTAAAATAGAAAAAAAATGCAAATAACATATTTTTTTATGATGTGGAGAAAACAATTTTTTATTATATAATAGTTTATAATTTGAGACCAATGTAGTAGCATATTTGGTACTTGAGAAGATAGTACCTAAAAATTATAGCTTCAACTTAAGTGGGGCGTTTAGGTTGTTTAAAAAAACAAACCCAAGCTAAAAGGTTTAAACTATTTAATGGGTACTACTTAGTACTGTACTACTTTAAACTTTTATTGGGAATAGTCGTAAAGTAACTCAAAAGAAAAATGTCTAAAAGAGAGATTATTAATTATGAAGGAAATATCAAAAATTAATACACGAGTCCCTATCATGGTCACAAGCCTCACTCACACGCCACACCACATTTTCAACAAATTAAGATGGTTACAAAAATATAAAACAAATTAATACGGTCTTATTTATAAATATAAATCTAAAAAAAAAAAGTGATAAATATAATCAGAGGAGTACTATATTTCTTTCTGGAGAAGGAGTAGTACCTTGGGGGGTCTGAGTAGCAGATACAGACCAAGTAAGTGCATCAGATGAAAGGTCAAGCAAATCAAGGCAATCAGAAACAGCATTAGATAAACGTGAATCACCAAAGCCAGCACCACCAAATTGCGAAAGAATACTTGTAACTTGTTGCAAAATATCCACTACATCATTCACTGACCCAACAAATTCAGATGGAGCAACCTTAAGAAACTCAAATCCAGCTGCTGTTTTTGTTGGAACACTACCACACAGTAATATTGGACTGCGCAACAGAAATGTTAAAAAAATGAATATGAATGTGGTGAGAGTGTGGTTTGGTTTTGTTGAAGAAAGAGCCATTGGAAGAAAAGAGAGATAGTAGGTTCCTTCCTTCCACGGTTGGGTTTGAATATTTAAAGGCGAATGGGAAGGGACGGAGTTATTATTTGCATGGTTTGGTTAGATGGGCAGGTGAGGGAATTAAAGGGTACGGCATTCTTCCCCACCACTAACTTAAATTAACTTAGAATGTTTGGATCATATCCTCATTTCAAAAATTATGTATCCATTTATAAAATAAATAACATTTCTAAAACCAGTGTTTTAAAAACCGGACCGGATCAGTCAGTGGGACCGATCGGACCGGAAACCGGCCTAGTAACTAGTCTGATTTACTAGTTTGATCGTCTGTGTCATCAAACCGGTAAAAATCGAGAAACACCGGATTGGACTGGAAAAAATCAGGTTTAAAGTTGGACCGGTTCTAATGCATTTTTTATTTTTTAATTAAAATTTAAATGCAAAAGTTATAAAAAGAAAAAATTATTTTGATTGTTTTGAAAACACCACCACCAACCCTAATATTGAAATAATTTTACCTTCTTAGAACTAAACTTAAATAGACATTGGAGTTATTTTGTTATAAATTATTCAATTATATTATGTTGCAATTAGATTTTGTAATTTTGTATTATTTTGTTATATGTGATACATTTGTTTAAAATTTAAATTTAAATTATGAACTTGTGAATTTATGATATGATATTTTCAAAAAAATTTAAGTACTAGTTATATTTTTTTAGAAACTCAATCATCCAGTTCAACCACTATATAATGACAGGTATATTCAACTGAGTTATCCAGTTTAATCTGATTTAGTCATGCGGTTCGACCAGTGACCCAGTAGTTCGACTGATAAACTAGTGATTCAATAACCTCACCGGTTCGATGACCGGTCCAATTTTTAAAACACTGACTAAAACGAACTATAGCATTATAATGCTTTAAATTTATTATAATTAAATAGGTCTCATAAAATATTTATCAAGATTAAATCTTAATTAAATAAATTTTTATTTATTTTATTATGGTTAAACAGTAATTAATTTACGGAGAGTTTTCAAAATTTTAAGACGGCTATAAAACACAAATTCATGAATATTTTTCAAATTTCAATATAATAGTATTATTAATTTTTGTTTAATTGCATTTCTTAAATTAATTCTTCCTATAATCCTTTTTTATAATAAATAATTTACTTATTAAATTTATTAAATGATATTTTTTATAAATTTTATATAATAGATAATTTATTTTTTAGATTTTAAAAACTGATTAGAGAAATATTTACTCGCTTCTTGTAAAACATCAAAGACCTTCTCAACCAACCTACCATTAACCCGTAGGCTCAAAATGACATTTTTCCTCATTGTACTCTTCAAAGAGGCATAAATGTACTCAATATTGACATTTTTTTTCTCTAAACCATTACCTTGGACCTTTGAAATATTGGAGATTCTTTAGCTTTAAGAGGGACCACAAATATTTTAGAGCTTTATTCTTGGAAACGCAACTTCATCAAGTTGGAGAGTAAGTTCTTAGGCGGTCAAGTGTTTTCACCTCTTCCGTAAGCAATATGATTCTATTAAAAAGAAAGGTCTCTTTCCCTCACACATTGAGGGTTCCTTTAAGTGAAATTTGTAAAATCATGTTTTACAATGATCAAAGATAAAAGATGATAATTAGCGTTTGTTTTTGATAATATGCGTTAATGTTGACAACTTGAAGGACAACAATGATATGACAACTTGAAGATGCAACTTTTGAGTCAAACAAGTATGATAAGCAGTTAAAGATGCAAGCAGACAAAATAGAGTTTGATGAATACTACAAACATCTTTTTATGATAACATTCAACCTGAAGATATCTCAAACTTCATTTTCAAGAAGATTCAACCAAATGCTTATATGATTGGTTAATTAAAGCTTCAAAGTGTGAAAGAGAGAAAGTGTGAAAATCCACTAAGTGTTCTAATTAACCATTCATTGTACAACAGACTGAGAGCTTAATGATCGTTTTATGTTGTCCTCTGACAAGATAATCAAAACCGTAGTGAAACTCTGAAGCCCAATGTGGTAACCATCAAAACCCAAATGGGATTCTAAAGCCCTATAGGTTAACCATCAGAACCCTAATAGGACTCTAAAGTCCTACGAGGTAACCATGAGAACCCTAGTAGGACTCTAAAGTCCTACAATGTATGCATTAGAATCCTAGTGGGACTTTGAAGTCCTACGGGGTAATCATGATAACTACATTGGTGAGACCCAACGAGACATGAGACAATAAGTGACTACGAAAGGTCCAAGCAAATAAAAGTAAAATTCAATATTCGTTTCGACAAAAGCACAAAAATCAAGTGTTAAAAAAAATCAAAATTCATTAATTAAAAAATGAAAAAAAATACAAAGGGTCCCAACAATGAGGTACCAATTACTCTAATGAGTTACAACAGGAATAAAAACCGAAAATGTTATCCTACTTAGGGACGTTCTAGGGAGAGACCTCTCTTTAAGAAGTCCACATCTCCCTAGCAGCATTGTTAGTAATAGCCTCTTCTTTGGGAGAGAAATTAGTTTATATCTCTTCTTCCAAAATTCGGTCGAACACGGGGTAAGTCTTCCACCAGAAGACCACCCACCACCACCTTAAAATTGTCAAGCTCACCGAGGTCGAGCTCGATGTACAAACAATGTACGTTTTCATTGGCCTTCTTGAACCCTTAGTTCCATGAAAGGAGGCAATCCATATGGGCCTCCTCAAGGTCCACCTTGAGATTTCTCTTCTCATCCTCTACCTTGACAATTTTATTACTCTGATTCTAAAAGTTTGTCTCAAGGGTCTTCTTATTTTCCATTAGCTTATCATTCTCTTATATGGTCTTTTTAGAGACATCCTTGGCCCCGACTAACTCCGTTTTGAGAGTAGACATCCTCTCATTAGCAGAAGACAACACAGATTGGCTAAGCTTATAACTATCATGCACCTTTTTGGATTCGATCTTCAAGTCACTCTCCCTTTAAGGTGTAGCTTCAAAATCTTCGAACAAAATGTATCCTAGGGCAACGCTCTTCATTAAATAAGTTTGATAAGCTAAAACGTCTTTTGAGAGCCCATCATTTTTACCTTCTTCATGTCACTAGTGGAAAGAAGGTGAACATAGGTAAACTCCATCCCATCGAAGCTCTTATCCTAGAAGTAAACCCCTTTTATGCCAATAGCGGTATAAGATCCACCTTTCGAAGAGCTAGTGCCACTACCTTCCATAAAATTTCCCATTTCCAAGTATTTGGAGGCGATTGTGTCCACTTCAATTGGCCCTTTTCTAGGCGCCACCATATTCCTCTTCATAGGAGGTGATCTTTTGTTCTTAGGGGGGTTGAAATACAATGAATATTAGTATGACCTTGAAGACTTTCCCCTTAGTGGCTGATTTTATTTTATTTGATTCCCAAACCTGGAAGCATGCATGATCAATCTAATGAACCAGTCGCCCCAATAAGCCTAAGACATCATAACTTTCTTTTCTTGTAACAACAAGAGGGTCATCCTCTCTATAAAAATAGAAACAAAAAATAAACTTGAAAATCAATCAAAAAAAAATGCAAGGGTAGAATATCAAGAAGTCATCTTATGTAGAAAACTTATCAATATGGGCGAATCTCCCTCAAGCCAAAGCAACTTTTGCACCCACATAATGGCATACTACTCCAACAGATTGACTCCTTCTCTCTCCATTTTCTATGTTTTTTTGGTTCATAGCCTATGATAGAAAGGGGTCCACCCGTCCAATATAGATGGAGATTATAAGTCCTATATCTTCATTCATTACCTCGGGGCACCGGTCACTGCTCCTAACCCAGACAAATTTGTCCTTCTAGTGTTTGTAGTCGGTAGGGAGAAATAATTGCATGCCCATAGGTGGCACTCACAGAGACCCATCCGCTCCTATTGACCCATTTGGTTTAGGATAAAGAGAAAAATATATTCGCCGTAGGAGTGATGTTGAGACCCCAACATATGATCTCAAAACTATAGATAATTGCCTAATTGTTTGGATGTTGTTGGGAGGATGTGATATTGACATTCTTCAAGATCTCAAACTGTATAATGGTAAATGGAACACCGACTCTGAAGTCCTTGATCACCCTAGTATAAAAACAAAATTATTCACCCTTCACACCCTTAGGTCTCCAGTTCTAACCGAAAGGCTTGGATCTAATCATCTTCAAGATATATCAAATCAATATTCATGGCCTCTTCCCAAAAGGAACCCTGATTAGAGAACCAGAGCATCATTTTAGTTTTAATCATACTTGAGGAATAATACATTAAGTCAATGTCATTATCACTACGAGATTCGCTCCTCTAACTATCACTAGACAAGCTCTCGTAACTACCAATGAGCTCAATTTCAAAGAACCATCAATCTACTTTCCTCATTCCCATTTTAAGCTTCGCATGCATGTATTCCACAACTTACATATCTTGACATTATTTTGGGGCTATATAACATCCTAGATGATTCACACTCTCGATTAAACACTGTGAAAGAAGAAATGGAAAAACATAATGGATAGGGTGTTACCTAATATTGTGAGCATTTGGTTCAAGATTTAGGTATGAAGAGATAAAATGGCACATAGATGCTTTATGGGAATCTATGAGATGAAATGAAGATATGAGAAAAATTAGAGTTGGTAAACCCTATTTATAGGATTTGAGTGTAGACAAAACAACGATTGCATTTAACACTACCTTACTAGGGCTTTAGAAAATAGGGATAGGTTATGAGTGACTTCTATTTCCAAGAAGTTTGATCATCATCACAACTAGGGAAAATAAAATAGTTAAACAACCAAATGACATTGGGCGGCCACGGTATGAGACTGCCACGACTAGAAAAATAGAGCATGCTCGTTCAAGAATAACATCGGTTGGGGCATATTAAATAATGACTATATGGTCTCAAGAAAGCATCTTTCCTTTATACAACTCATTCTTGAGAGGATGTGTGCAT